CACTGTTTACATGTTCATTTCAGAACTCATTTTAAAATCATTAACTTTTCAGGGACCTGCATGGTCAACATACTTGGTATATTACTACAATTTTAGAGGCTCATGCTCCACCTTGAGCTTTCAGGTCCTCACCATTGTCTTGAGAGTCTGGACCTATTTAAAAAGCAGATGAAGACACTGTTATTGAAATGTTCTTTTCCTTAAGGTCTTTTAAACATTACTTTATCTTTTATTTATTTATATGTATAATTTAATGTTTTTGTCTTTTTAATCCTGCATTAATTTAGTTTCCATTGTACATTCCAGAGTTAAACAAAAAAGAGTAAAGAGCAGGAAAGATATATCATCGATAAAAAGAGAAAGTGAAATCTAAAAAAAGTTGTAAACTCAAGACATCTGCAGCCAACCTTTAGAGAAATCAATAGCTCCAGACAGCAGGACAGAGAAGAAAGCAGCGAATGGAGGGAAGGGGAGTGGGGAATACCAAAGGGGAGGAAAGGGAAGGCAGCTGAAACCAGATAAAGTTGAAAATGGAGATTGAGTGTGTAAGAGAGGTAAAATAAGATAAAGGAGGTTGCCAGCTCTTTGTGCACTTTGGCAAAAACCCAATGGGTTAGTGGCTGGTGTGCTCGGGTCAATCTCTTCACCTGTGAATCAGCTGCAAACAAAGAGCATGACGAAAAAAGAAAAGTGAGGAAAAACTGCAGCAGGCACGAAGTAAAAGGGGTGTCAAGGGTCATTTGTTCTTCTTTGAAATACATCTTTCATTCCACAGAAATTTCTTAGCCTTCAAAAACTCGCCTCACTTTCTCTTCACAAAAACTGTTTCTTTGAGTTTCGTGGTTTGTAATTAATGCTTGTTAGACTTTCTCAAGCCTGATGCAATGATGAAATCTTCGAAAAAATAATATGCATCAACCCAACCGTGAGAACAACAATGTATGCTTGAGATTTAGAAGGCCATTCAATTTTGATATTGTGCTGAGAGTGACACCCATATATGTCACCAAAGCAAGGCTGAAGTTCCATACTCTGCACTCAGACAGACACTGTGTAAGAAAAAGTGACACAAACACTGACAGGAATCAACCCTCCTTGATGATAGTTGACATATTTTTTTTTCCTGTTTAACTTTCATAGTTATCTTTTTTTCCTAAATAATTTTTTACCCTGCATGTGACTTGAAGGAAACAATGTTTGATTATGCCACTTGAGATGAGAAAAACAGTGGAAATGGAAATGAAGTTGCGGTTGTTTGGGTTATAGCACAGCTTGACCGTAAAGAAGAAAGGAAAACGAGTCAAAATTGAAGAAAAAAATATGACTTAAAAGATAAAAGCCTCAAATCCATCATGCTCCTGACAATGAAATGTTGCAACAATGAGCACAGCAACCAGTTGTCAGCAGGAAGCATGTTGCTTTTATGAACACAAAGCCAAAATCCAGAAAGAGCTTTCCAGAAAGAGCTTCCTTGACAATTGATAGACACACAAGAGAATTCCTCTTTTGTCTTGTGTCGCAGCAGCATAAAAGAAATATAGAACAATATGGTGGGTGTGGGCATACCAGCAGATGATGCAAAGATACAAATGTATTTGCTGTTGCGAATAAAGTTATCCAAACCAACCTGGCCCTCTGTGAAAATGCATGTAGTGCCTTAAGTTTAATAGAGCAGCTTCCATGTGTTTGCTGCATCCCTTACTTGGCTCATGACAAACCTCAAACAGTACTTCAACAGTGACTTTGTTCTTACTCTTCCATAAAGGCCACATTTGTAGAGTGCACTACTAATAGTTGTTGATAGGAGTGAGCTGTGCATCTCTCCAGCTACTTCAGAGTCATGTCAGCCATGTCATGTAGATTTAAAATTGTGCCATTTTAGAATGACACACTGAACAGTGGGCTGTAAGATGTTCTTAGCTTGAGAAGTAAATTTTTTTTTTTTTTTTACTTTTCCCTGCTTAAAACTGCTCCACATTTAACCTCCAACCTGTCTGTTGTTCCTTGGTCTTCATGATGCTGTTTTTTTCTCCAACAAACCTCTGAACCCTTCACAGAACAACTGTGTTCATACTGAGATTAAATTACAAACTGGAGAACAACATTTACAAATAATGTGATTTCTGAGGACACTTTATTGCACAGAATTTTATTTGGTGGTATCAGATTTTAAGGAGATTTGATACAAATAAACATGACAATTTTCGGATTTCTTTTATGAAAAAATTAAAACTCCATCCTTTTGCTTTTATTTCACAATTTATGCCCTGCTTTGCTTAGCATATAAATTCCAATAAAATACGTTGAACTTTGTGGCTGTAGACTGATAAAAAGAGGAAAAGTTCAATTGGTCTGAATACTCACTGTACATCAGTACTCAGTGGTGATTTGCAAGGTCGTGATTATTTTTTTCTACTACCTGCGACCTTTATTGGGATTTATGCAGATATTTAAATTTGGCAAAAAGGCCGATGGGTTAGCTGAAAATAAAAAGAGGAGCAGATCTAAAAAACAGGCACCAGCTTATCATGTCGTGTTTTATTTTACTGAATGAGAACAAGTTCCATTTCATTTTTGTGCTTTGCAAAATCCTAATCCTCTTTGGTGTTTGTTTACAAGGCAAACACATCAGCTAAATGTTCATATTGTCATGGGCCTCGACAGATATATATTTTTTAAGTTGTTATTTTCTTAGGCTATTTTTGTTCTTCAGTAGGAGTTATTCCTGACTGCAGTTTTTTTTCTAAAGTCTTTTATTTCTCTGTATGTTGTCAGAAACATGTTGCTCTTTGCTTGAAGGCGCAAAGATGAAAATGCCACTTGCAGATAAAGTTTAATAATTACCAGATTCAGACTTAATATTTTTCCTCATTGAGTTTTGAGTCATTGCTGAGGTGAGATTAAAGCAGATGCTATGTCTGCCTTGCTTTCTTGGTTTTTTAAGCAGTATCTGTTTAATGAGGTCAAGTTAAGTATTACAGTGACAATTCGCCTTGAACTCTTTCTTCGATTGAATCTTCACACCTTAGCTGTCAGTTTTCCCACTTCACCTACAGTTTCAAATATAACTATATATCCCTGAGGGTCTGTCAAGCCTCTGTTGTTTTCGCTCTCTCACCCATAATCCCACAAAACATCTCTGTCACAGCCAATCCCTCACTTCTTTCTTCTCATCTGACAAGTCCTAATCACACGAACCTTTCCTTTTTCTTGCTTTTTATTTTCTAACTGCTCTGTCTTTCTCTCTCATCGCTTTTTATTTTGGAAACTCTCTTCAAATCACCCTCTCGCTAATTTACTTTTTCTCCTCCTCTCCTTATCGCTCTCTCTGCCTTCGCCTCTGTGGAGTTGTTTATGACCCGTTCATCCTCCTCTGTAATTATGTGTGTTGTTCACTGTATCCCCATCTATATGACAAGCTTGACAGATATGCAGGGAGATGGATAGTATGAGTTAAAAAGCAGGATGAAAAACGAGTGTGTTTTGGCAGAGGCCATTTTCTTCATGGTGCATCTGTCCATCGGCCCTGACCTGAGGGAATGAACCACTAAATGTGACTTATAGCCACAAATGTACAGACACACACAAATACTGATTGAGATTATCCTGCAGTAATGATGATTATGGTTGTTTATAGTCTTCAACCTACACTTTTGTCAGCTACAGTGGCTACTAGAGTGTGTGGGTTTTTGTGCACCGTCTCTGTAGTGCAGGAAGAGTTGGGGTGAGCTAGTTATTTTGCCCTTTATCACACAGACAAGCCAATTAGAGTCACAGCTATTGATATGAACTTAGCCCCACCCCCACCCCTCTTCCCGATGTGTTTTTCATTTAATAGATTAATACTCTCAGTGATGACCTGTGACGAGATGTTTATGGGAGGTATGCAGAAGCAAGCAAAGGAGGCTTATCCTCTGAACTGTGAGGGAGGTGGATCCCATTAGGTGGAAGCTGTTAAAATAACTCATTACACTGCTCCAGACTATCTGCAGTGTGTTTTAATGGAATTTGCCACAGACAGCGGCAAATTCACACATTTTTAAAACTACGTATTACATTTAGAACCAATGCATGTTGCATCAAAAGATGAGAATCTCTTAGTTAAACTCGATTTTAAACAATTAAAGTGAGACAGCAGTGCCAGTGCTTAGTACCAAATCTCCTTGTTTCAATTACTTCATTCAATGTATTTGGCAACTACAAAAATCAGATTAAAGAGTCACTTTTCAGTTTATTTAAATCCGCTACTACTTAAAATATTGTAAATACCACATTGGAAAATGTAGAATTAGTTTAGGATTTATTCTGCCTAATTTAAGACAAAAACAACAACGGAAATAGAAGTTAAACTATTGCATTAGCACTGAAACAACATGAGCTCATTGTCTCTCAACTTCTGCCATTTGTTTAATATTTTCCATCACCTATGTAGGTCAGTGCAGCTCATACCTTTTAACTAGATTCACACGTTAAGTAATTTAATATCACAAGATGCACGGTGACATCGAGGTGGATTGTCTGGACAGAGTTGATCCTGGTCTTTAACCTTAGCTTGTCTATGGTGTCTTTAGAGGAAAACGTAGAGGGTTGCTTACAACAGAACGCGCTCTGTAATCTTAAATTTTAGATTCAGTGCAGAAGGATAACTCTGAGGTCACCTTTCACAGGTGCATTATAGTTAAAACTTTTTTAGACCTGTTTCAAAAAATATGTAAGTTAGAACTGCTATAATTCCTCTTGAGGTGAGGTAGAGATTCCCTGCCTATCTGTAAAATCATGTGAGAGTATTTGTGTGACCACAGTAGGTACATCCTAAGCATATTTATGACAAAGAGGAGGGAATTCTGCTCATACAGAAGATACTGCTTGAGCCTCTTTTATAGTGGACTTTATGTTGTTTTCATCTTGGTTGACTGGGCTGTCAAAATTTACAGCCAAAGTCTGTCTCAAAGGTTTCCTTTATAATATTTCAATGTCTTTATCAAAAATCGTGTCAATTGGGCACTGATGGTGTAGGGGTTAGCGTGCGACCATATGCAGAGGCTACAGTCCTCAGACGGCTGTCCCGGGTTCGAGTCCCAGACCCGGCGTCATTTGCCGAATGTCTCCCCCTCTCTCTACCCCTCTTTCCTGTCTGCCTACTGTCAAAAAATAAATAAATAAAGGCCACTAGTGCCAAAAAAATATCTTTAAAAATCATGTCAATAGAACCTTTTAGCGCCATCTGAGACTGGAAAATAGATGTAGAGAGGGATGTTTCCTTGATACATATTTTTTTTTAAGATATTGCTCATCTAGCAGGGTAATTAACAAAGCGGTAAAGATGAGTGTGTTGCTAAAATTTAAATTGTACCTCTGCATCTATAGGTTATACCAAGATAATTACTCTCAGTGATGTCTAAAACATGTCATGTTTTAGGTTATGGTGGGGTTACTAAAATTATTTATTTATATATTTATATATTTGCTAAATGCCAAAAAAAAATACAGTGAGGTTTTAAGAATTTTTTTATTCCTTTCTACAGAAGGTTACTTTGCCTTTAAACAATTTAGAAAGGCATAGATGACAATTTTATGGCTTTAAACATCTGCTAGGTTAAGTCACAACATTTGAATTTAATTGAGGCAAACCTGTGGAAGTATTTTAAGGAATCATCTCAAACGCACTGCTCTTTTGTGTGACACAATGTAAAGACCAAAATAAATCAGGCAAGATAACAGGAAGATAACTGTGGACCTCTATAAATCAGGTTAATCCTTGGTTACAATTTTCCAGTTACTTGACACAAATTAGCATAGACAGCATGGGGATGTCCAGCCATCACACTGTTCAGGATAGAGATGGGTTCTGTTTCCAAGGGATAAACATATTTTGGTGTCTAATGGACAAATCAACTCACCTTGATAAGAATCTGGCTGAAGCTAGATATAGAGTTCCATAATCTTAATAAAAAAAGTCCTGTACTAACATGGGCTGGAAAGCCACTCTGTGAGGAAGGATTCATTACTCCCAAAAGCCTCATAAAAACCACATTATTGTTTGCATATGCACTCAGGCACAAAGAAAAACAAGTTGAAAGCTTGCACATAATTCCAACAGTAGGAGCATCATGTTGTTTGGATGTTTTGGTGCTGGAGGGCCTGGTGCACTTGGGAAAATAGTTGACATCTTGAGAAGATTATGAGGACATTTTTAACATCTCAAGACATCAGCCATGTGTTATTTATGTCTTTTCTGTTCTTGCCATGTTCAGTGTTCATCATTATTTTGCCTTAGTAGTTCATTCCTTTGGGAATTATTTGCTAAGGTTTCAAGTTTATTTCTGCTCTTCCTGTTTTAAGTAGTCTCCTTCCTTCAGCTTCTCTGCTTTCTCTGTGTCTCAGCTGTTTCCCATTCCCTCTGATTAGCTCATCTGATTTCTTTGTCTACTTCCACCCCTGCCTCAGTATTTAATCCCTTGACTTCTCATTATCCACTGCTGGATTCTTTCGTTCTTCTACTTGATATTCTATTCTGAGTTATGCCAGTTGTTCCCAGTCGTTTTCCATATCCTGGTTCTATTATGCAATTCTTTACATTTGCCTTCTGTTTTTTCGTTAAATATTTTTCACGTCTTCACCACTTGATCAGTCTGCATTGGGGTCCAACTACAAACCAATGTGTCTAGTGCATATGGACCTAAGCTAGATTATGGGAGGCAGTTCCTTCCGGCCGTCGGTAACTGCGTGCGGCCCTCAGTGTGTGCACCCCTTATGTTTCCCATCGAACAGACCTATGCTGATATGTGTGAAATGCTAAATGGTTAAGCATCGCAAATAGATAATAATACCCTGTTGAAAAATTTTAAAAAACAAAAATAATAAAAAGCTAAAAGCACAGCGGAAAATGAGCAGCACAATGTGTATCAGTATATTGTAGACCCTGAATCGTAAACCCTGTTCAATTATCTATTGCAGTTGTCTGGTCCGGTCCCCCTCCAGGCCGCAGGAAAGGGTTGGTCTTGGGCAAGGCCTGGTGCTGCATCCTCGGTTTATGGCTGTGATTTAATTTTGCTCCCATTTTCAGGCTGGCTCTGAACTATGGGTTTCATCCTCCTGCTCATAGCACAGTATCATAATTTCTCCATCACTTTGGTTTGGTTCCATGGGATCCACATCATCACTTGTGCTCAAATATTCAGTGGACAACATCAGTGTGTGCTCTGGCACCACATCCATTTGATATTCTCGTAATCTCAAACCTCTGGTATCAGTGGAACCAATCGCACGATCAATACACTTCGTTAGAGATCCATCAGGTGCTGTAATTGTTGCGGATAAAAGAACAACAAACCTGTCCACAAACACCACACAACCATTTTTCTTTATTTATTTATTTTTTGCTAGGATCATATCCAAAGCTATTCTAATTTGACAAGAAATAATTTCAACATCCTGTTTACACAGCCTTCAGCTGTCTCTCCTGTTTTGCCTTGGTGTCGTTTAAAAGATTAGAATCGGTTCTAACAGGAAGCAGTTTGTATTCTAGCAGACATATCAAATTCAAAAACACATTTTCTGAAAGGTTCCCCCTGACGAAGTAGGCCAATCGGTGTCAGTCCATCCTGGATGGAGAGGGAAACCAGGGCACATCTTTCCTGTCCAGTCAATAGGTAGTCACCCCCAAACCCATTATTCCCCATAAATCAGTTCTGTTCAGCAGCAATTAAAAGATCAAGGCCTTGTATCAAGTTAATTTACAATCTAAATTGCAAACATCACCCATAAATAAATAACTCAGAAGCACATGGGAAGTTATAATTTCTATTCATGAAGTTATTTGAATTGATTAAATAGTTGAACACTCCTTTAACCCTTCATGCAATTTATTCCACAACTTCCCACATTCACAGAAGTGTTTGATTATTCATGCAGTTTTACTTTAGAAATCCTTCTCCCTCTGTGATTTTTGATTTTGTGAAATTTACCGGGACATACTCCTTCAAGCTGTAACCCAACAAATAGAATTTTTATTGTTTGCTTCTTTATCATGTTCCCTCTGTTGAAGTAACCCAGCCCACTCAAAATGTATGAAACAGGTTCCACATAATTGTATTTTGTTTGTTGAAAGCAAAAAGATGAGTTAATCTTACTGTTAGACGTTATGGTTACTGGAATAAATTAATTTAATTCCACAAGCACATTTTTGATGTGTTAGCTGGAAATGAAATGTTAAGTCAAAAGATATCCAATCGAACCTATTCGTATGTTCTTCCTCAGGTGCTTTCTGATTTCTCTGAGGTTTCTTTCGGAGGACGGCTCTCCCTTCCTGCAATATAATCCGCTTACCTTAGTTTTCCCCTCATCCAGAGTTCCATTTGTTTCTCCTGTTGGTTCTTTGGTTAGAGCCTCCTGTGTGTTATGAGACAAAAACTTTACAGCAGATTGAAATAGCTGAGCATAGTGTGTCAGTTGCTCTCTCTGTGAATCCAGACTGGGTGCACACCCCGACTGAAGAGGGGAGGTGAAAGGACAGGGCATGGTTCTTCCTGTCAGCAGCTGATGGGGAGTTAAATCCATGAGCTCAGCAGGTGATGATCTTATGTAAAACATCACCAAGGGCAGCGCATCCAGCCACTTCATTTTTGTATCAGCACAAACGTTAGCCAATCGTTTTTTGATTGTGTGATTAGCTCTCTCAGCCGACCTGGTGAAAGTGTCAAGCACATCTCTACATCATTTCACTCTGTTGTCAGCACCCATAAAATCAAGAACAGTTTCCTTTAGGGCTTCATGGGAACAGGAAATGGTCCAATACCTGTTTTCATGAGAATCTTATATGTAGATAATATAACAGAGTCATCTTCTCACCTTTAACCCAAAAATCATATTTATATTGTAACCCAATTAGTTGCTACTTTATTGTCCGTTAACTAGTAGCTAAAGTTAGATATGTTCAAACCTTAATTTTCCATAATAATTTTTGAAATCATCCCCAGAACAAAGTATTCGCATCATTTACCATGAAGGTGTCCAGTGTTTTGGACAACCTACTTTTCAAGCGCATTGATAATTTTGATTATATCTACCTAAATTAGACCTTTAGGGCCTTTCCCCCATACCTCTACCCCCAATAGTAGATAAAAGTTTATTTGCATCTTCTGTAAAACCCTTTAATCAAAACCATTTTTTTTTTCTTCCTGTTAAACATTTTTTCCCAAAATTTAATCCATTTCCATTTATCCATCCTTGATTATTATTATTTTTTTTTTTGTTTTCTCTGAAGTCTAAAGGTTAGTCAGACAAACATTTGAGACAAACTTAAAAAAAATTTAGACAAACCACTTAAGACACACAACACATGCTGGCTTCAGCCCCCCTCCTAAAGAAGTTTGGGGGGGGCCCAAATCTTTAACCATCAAATTATTCAACCAGAACCCTATGTCAGAATGAAAGTTCTATTTGGTTCTTTTTTCCCACCCCAAAGAAAATTTAGATCCAATTTCACCTCAAAAAAATTCCATAAAAAATTTAAGTTTTCACCCTCTGAAACTAAAAACCCAGAAAATTGTTCCAATTTTGCGAGCATCTGAACACATATAGTGAACACCGACATTAGAGAAAAACTAAAGAAAACAAAACTTGGTGCACTCTAAAACCGTTCATTAGTTGTTCCAAACACAACTATGAATCAAAACCCAAAACAAAAAAAGACTCACAGAAACTAAAACATACCATTCCCCCCTGACCTTTCACTCATGTGGCCCACATCATTCATCATTCATACCTTGGGCCCCTTTCCTTCATTCCTGTCACACGCTTCTTTAACCACAGTTTTTAACCCAAAACACAAGCTTTCGATTTCTATTGTTCCTGAAACCCCAGGGTCTCATGTTTAAGTAATAATGTGTAAATGGACCCATTTGTCAGGCTGGGCCCAGCCCCTTTTCAGGCCTTCTTCACCTAGGGGGAAAAAAAAAAATGTTTGGGTTATCACTCACATCATCAGGCAATATAGTGGGACGACTCTTCATCAACCTTTCCCAGAAAACATATTTTTGTGACCGGCAATGCCTGAAAAGAAACAGTTTGATCATACAGTCATCCTACAGCA